TTCTTCTTCTTCTTCTTCTTCTTCTTCTTCTTCTTCTTCTTCTTCTTCTTCTTCTTCTTCTTCTTCTTCTTTCTTGGTTTTTCAAGACAGGGTTTCTCTGAGCTTTGGAGCCTATCCTGAAACTAGCTCTTGTAGTCCAGGCTGGCCTTGAACTCACAGAGATCCCTCTGCCGCTGCCTCTTGAGTGCTGGGATTAAAGGCATGTGCCACCACCACCCGGCTCAAATCTGAGTACTCTTACTTGTCCTGGCCTGCAACCTGATTTGTCCCAACTAGGCCATTTTCTACATTGAAAAAAAAAGAAGAAAGAAATTTAGGGGCTGGAGAGATGACTCTGTGTTCAGAGCATTGGTTACTCTTCCAGAGGGCCCAGGTTTGAGTCCTAGAATCCACACAGTGGCTAACAACTGTCTGTAGCCTCATTCCTGGGGATCTGACATCCTCCTCTGATATTTGTGGGCACTAAATACACATAGTTCACAAACATACATGCAGTCAAAACATCCATACACATAAAATAATAAAATATTTTAAAAAGAAATGATTTTTTTATTATTATTGTGAGGGAAATGCATGTGCCATGTGTATTGTGAAGAGGCCAGAGAACAACTCTGTGGGTTGCTCTTCTCCTTATCCCTTTACGTGGTCCTGGGGACTGGACTCAGTCTTGAGTGGAAGCACCTGTGTCTGCAGTCTCACCAGCTCCGTTTCCCCCCCCTATTTTTGTTCTGCACTTAGGACAACTGACACCAGCAGGTGTTACCATTGAAAGCGTCTCCCTCACACACCGTTCTTTGCTCACAGAGTCTGATATGAAGTTGTGCCAATCGTAGTGCAAGACAGAGAGGAGCTCTTGGGTTTGCTTGAAAATAAGTTTATTGAGAAACGAGTGCCGTGCACACAGCTACACACCTGGGCCTCTGAACCCATGCCCCTGGCTTCTGCATTCAGGCTGGTGACAGATGGTGGCTTACTGCTTGCGTTTAGTCTCGGTGAGTAGCTCTTGCCAGTTCTTCTCCATCTCCTCTTTGCAGTTGAGGAAGGCATCCTCCAGCCGGCGCATGGACTCTGCTAGTGTGGGGTTGGTACGCATGACCACCATATCGTAGGCCATCCAGGTTGCCTGCACTACAACAAACAGGTCCAGTCAGGTGACAGGTGCTGAAGCTCTGGGTGGGGGGCACTGTGTTCAGCATTAGGGGTCAGACCCTGAGGGACACCAAGTATCCCAAGAAGAGAAAGCTGAGAGGGTGCTATAAACCCCCTATAAAACTTCTTTCTACAATAGCAACAATGACACCTCCTAAAGGTCTCAGTACTTAAGCCTATGGCAGTAACAAGCTGGAGATTAGTCTGATATGGAATGACAGAAAAGTTAGAGCAAAGCATGGGCTCTTACCTGTCTGTAGTCCACAGCTAATGGTTTGCACAGTGACTCTTAAAAAGTCATAATTTTTACCCAAGCTTACATGCTCAAGGTAATCCAACCATTTCTAGACCCACGAGACCCGAATGATGTGTTTTCTCATGCCCAGTGACCTGAGACACCTTTCTACCTGTCCCTGACATCAGTAAGGCACAGGGCAGGTCTTCTCCTCCAGAGGTTAGGTTGCCTCACTGTTAGGCATCCTTGAGCATTCACCATCACACAGACAAGCATCTCTGTTCTTCCTCAGACAACTGGAGTGCAGCTGGACCGTCTAAGTGAGCACATGCTTCTTGTGCAGGTGTAGTGGAAGTGTGTGCAGAATCCATTCTGCAGCATCCACTTCTGGTGCGGCACTTCCCTCTAGACTGTACAGAACATGGTCTGAACACAGCAGACATGTCCCTTAGAATTCTTCTACTAGGGTGAAAAGTATTGGATACTTTGGGAAATTATATCTTCGAGGAAATTCACCAATGAGATTACAGGAAAATGATTAGTGCTAGATATGAGCATGTGTACATATATGAAAGCAACATCACTTCATCACAGACTCGAAGTAGTGGAGAGAAGCATGTACTTAGTTATGGAAAAATTACTTACAGGTCTCAACAGAGTTTATATGATTCTATTACTAGCATGGGGAGCCTTTAATTTTTGAATTAGGAGTGGCACTTGGGACACTTACAATGTCGACCACTGGATCATTCCACGACAGCTTTTATCTAGCAGGTTGAGACTCATTCTAGCACAAAGGGTCTGCAGACCACCTTTTCAAGTCCCTGGCAGCAGATGACACGTGGATCTGGAAACCAGAGCAGAGTCTGCTTCCCATCCCTCTACCTGCTAGCTATGTGACCGTAAACAAGGGAGCAAATTTGCTGACTCAGTCTCCTCATTCACAAGATAAGAGACCACCTAGTAGCTTCCAGTGAGAACCAAACAGACACTATATGAACCACTTAGCATATATTATGGACCGAAGGTATGCATACCTCTACATTTATTACTGAAATACGGTCCCAAGTTAATGCATAGGATGGGCCTCTGGGAGATGTGCAGTAGTCAGGGTAGAGGCCTCATGACTCATGGGAGAGACACAGCACTTGCAGCTGGCCGTGTGAGGACACCCTGAGGAGGAGGATGACCATACAAACATGGAAGAGACTTCTCACCAGATAACTTGCTGGCAACTTGATTTTGGATTTCCCAACTCTAGGACCAACCACAAGAAATAAATGTTTGTTTTTAAAGCCATCTTTTTGTGGTCATTTGTTATAGCACCCCCAGATGATTAGTTAGAAATTGGTACCAACCAGGAGAGTGTTGCTATAGCAACACCTGGAAGTATGGGAGCAGCTCTGGTGGTGGGTAGAGGTGGCCAGAGTTTTGAAGCACATAATAGAAGTACATGATACAGTAGTGACATGAATGGAGTTTTAAAAGTAATTCTGGCCGGGCGATGGTGGCACACGCCTTTAATCCCAGCACTCAGGAGGCAGAGGCAGGCGGATCTCTGTGAGTTCGAGGTCATCCTGGTCTACAAGAGCTAGTTCCAGGACAGGCTCCAAAGCCACAGAGAAATCCTGTCTCGAAAAGCAAAACAAAAAGTAATTCTGGTTCAGGAAGAAAAGAGGAATTTGGAGAGACAAACCTTCTGTCTGCAGAGAGAATATATGTAATCCTGGACAGGATGTTTGGGGACCTACAGATGGTAAAGCCATTATTATGACAGCTCAGATGGAAATGAGGACTGTTAATTGGGAGCTAGAAGAAAGGTGACCCTTGTCCTAACTGTCAAAGGACTTGGCTGGGTTGTATTCATGCTCAATATTTTGTGAAATGTAGAATTATGAGCAATGAAACTGGATACCCAGGGGAGAATTGCTTAAAATTAGAAACTTTTTTTTTTGAGACAGGGTTTCTCTGTGTAACAGCCCAGGCTGTCCTGGAACTCACTCTGTAGACCAGGCTGGCCTCAAACTCACAGAGATCTGCCTGCCTCCACCTTCTGAGTACTGGGATTAAAGGCATGTGCCACCACTACCTGGCCAAAATTAGAAACTTTTACTATAAATAATTCAAGTACTCAGGACGAAGACTTAAGATAGGAAGGAAAATAACATCAGGGGATAAAAGTAACCCCCCCCCCAAAATAAATGCCACATAGTTTCCCACAGCACCTAGAATTCAAACTCCTCTGAGCTTCCTAGGCCAAAGCAGAGAAAGAAAAAAAAAACTTCTTTTGTAAGGTCAGTGTCCATGAAAGATACAAACAGGCTCTTGAACACACCTCTGTTCTGGAGCTGAGCCCTCTGTTTCAGTTACCTCCATTGCTGTGAGGAGACACCAAGACCAAGGCAACTCTTAAAGGAAGTATTTAATTGGGAGCTTGCTGACAGCGTGAGAAGGTGAGACGTGACCATCATGGTGTGTGACGGCAGGCAGGCATGGTGCTGGAGAGCTCACATCTGATCCACAAGTTGCAGGTAGAGAGTGTGTGTGAGTCTGGGCCTGGCATTAATGGCGAATCAATCCCACACTGGTTATGTTTTAAGGGGTTATTTATTTTGGGGGGGGGTAAAACTTACATACACGATAAACCGTCAGGAAGGGAGCCTAGTCGCTGGAGCAGGAGCCGGGAGTAGGAGCCGGAACCAAGAGGCCGAGCCGAGCTTGCCGCTCTTCTTTTAAAGAGAAATATACCACGCCCCAGTGGGCTGGTATTTCAGCGGCTATTGGCTGACAGAGCGGAAGGCGCTCCCACAGCACTGTGGGCTTGTGCTTCAGCGACTATTGGCTGAAGCAGCGGAAGGTACTCCTGCAGCATGGCATGCTGACTGGGCCAACAAAGTCACACCTCCAACTCCTTCCCAAACACTTCCATTAACTGAGGACTGAGTATTCAAGCTTACAAGGCTATGCAGTCATTCTCATTCAAATCACCACACCCTCTGTAGCTTGTACGAAGCTTCAGTTTGATTCCCAACATAGGAAGAATAAAAACTTCCAGAATAAAAAAAAAGTCAACAAAAACAAACAAACTGAAACAAGAACGCTATCCTAAGAGAGAAATTTCCAAGGAGGAGCTGGGCAGTGGTAGTGCACACCTTTAATCCCAGCACTCAGGGAAGCAGAGGCAGGCGGATCTCTGTGAGTTTGAGGCCAGCTTGGTCTACAGAGTGAGTTATAGGACAGCCAGGGCTATAAAGAGAAACCCTGTCTTGAAAAAAAAAAACCAAAAAAACAAACAAAACAAGAAAACTAAAAAAAACCCCAAAAAACCCAAAGCAAAAATAAAAACAAAAAAATTCCCAAGGAGGTTCCTCTATGAAGAATATTTGGGGGCTGCAGAGTTAGTTCAGTGGTTAAGGGCATGGCTGCTCTTCCAGAGGTCAGGGGTTCAATTCCCAGCACTGACATGACCAGTCACAATTGTCTATAACTTCAGTCCCAGGAGATTGAACTGATACTCATTTTTGGCCTCTTTGAGCATTGCAAACAGAGTGCAAGGCATACACGCAGGCAGGCAAAAATCCATACATATAAAATAAAAATATTTACAATAAAAGTTAAGAACAGGTGTATTCTGTTCTTGTAGAATATTAGTTAAAGATGGCCTACATTTAAAAAAAATGTCCTGCATTCATTTATGTTGTGGAACATTTGTTTAATGATACAAAGATGTTTTGCATTCTTTTATGTTGCATTTGTTACTTTTTTGAAGCTGTATTACTTTGCCTGTCTAAAACATCTGGTTGGTCTAATAAAGAGCTGAACAGCCAATAGCAGTGGGAATAAACAGGAGAAATCTGGGAAGAGATGATGGAGGAGCAAGAAGAGGAGGAGGACATCAGGGAACAGCCACCCAGCTACACAGCGAGCCAAGGAGGAAGTAAAGAAAGATATTCAGAAATAAAAGTCCAGAGGCAAAAGATAGACAGAATAATTTAAGTTAAGAGAAGCTGGCTGGAAACAAGCCAAGCTAAGGCTGGGCATTCATAAAAAAGAATAAGCCTCTGTGTGTGATTTATTTGGCAGTTGGGTGGTGGGCCCCCAAAGAGTAAGAGCCAAAGAGCAAAGACAAAACAAAATAAAATAAAAACAAACAAACAAAACCCCCACAACAACATTCTGCAGTTGCAAGTAACTTTGACGTCATCTGTATTTTAAATACAAGGAAGCCCCTCCATGCTTGTTGCTAGAATCACTGGTAAAGGTTAGCTGGCGAAATGGCTCACAGCACTGTAAGGGAGAACAAATCAATCAGATAGCAAGTCATTCTGTTACTTGCATAACCCTCTTGTTTTCTGATCCAAGAGAAATATTTTAGATATATAGAATAGGAAGAATGAATCAGAAGATTCTCCAGAAATACGTCTTGTTCTGTTTTGTAAAGATAGGGTCTCCTGTAGCTCAGGCTGCCCTCAACCTGGTTAAGTAGCTGTGAACGACCTTCAACTCCTGTTCCCCCCCCCCCCGCCTCTACCTCCCAAGCGCTAGGATTACAGGAGTGTATTAACACATTTCACTTCAGAAATCTTTTTAACCCCAACACTCGGGAGGCAGAGGCAGGAGGATCTCCATGAGTTCGAGGCCAGTCTGGTCTACAGAGCAAGTTCCAGGGAAGCGAGAAGCTAGGGCTGTTATATATTGAAAAACCAAAAAACCAAAAAAAAAATTTCCTGAGGTTTCAATTCATTTACAATTTACTGATTGCCATTCTGTGCTGCCATTTGCCAAGGCAGCTCTGGCACTACATATAGGATATACAGTGGACAAATCTGTGTTCCTGAAAAGTCCATGCTAAGCTGCAGTGGGAGAAGACAGATAATCAGCATACAAGGCATTGGAGAGTGTGAGACACGCTGAGGAGGAAGTAAACAGTATATGCTGTAACAGAGAAATGGCAGGCAAAGTTGAGGCCAGTCCTACAGAGAGGCCACATAGAGAAGCCTCCTGCCAAAACTGTAGCTCGGGTGGTGGTGGGGGCGCTACTTGCCTAGTATTCCCAAGGCCCTAGTGCCACAACCTCCAAAAGAAAGAAGAAAAAGGAAGGGGAAATAAAATTTCTTGTCAACAAACATGTGAGTTTGGAAGCAGATTTTCCAGTACCCAGTCAAGAGTTCAGAGACTGAAGCAATGGTGACTGTGATCTTGGGAGAATCAGTCAAAACAGGTCAGCTACGCTGAGTTCAGATTCATTACCCTAAAGATGGCCACAATAAATGCTTTGGTGTCCAGCCTCTTGGATTGGTTTTGCAGCAACAGATAGCAGATACTGACTTAGGTGTCGAGAATATGATGTGTCCATAGTAAAACCCTAACCCACGAGGGGTCGTTTTGGAAAAGAGCAGTGAGCAGAAAAGCTGTGACGATTTTGAAGTGAGAATTAGCAAAAATTTACAGTTCCTTCAGTGCACTGGCTCCAGAATCGACAATAAAATGAAAACTGAAGGGGTGGGGGCTTCGTTAGGTAGAGGGAGATGATTAAGCAACATCATCACAAGAAATAATTTCAAAGGCAAAAAATGTACCTAATGAGCTGTTTATTGGGATTTAGGTACATTGTTTTTATTTTTCAGGGTGTGAAAAGAGGTAGCGCTAGTGCCGGGGAATAAACCCAGGGCACTGAACACTTGCTAATCACATTCTACCATTAGTTGCCTCATCCAGAATAGGAATAATAATGGTACATATCCCCCCTAAAATTGTTAAAAGAAGTAAATAAGATCATGTGGAAAAGATATCAACATATACATAATAAACAGGTTGTATTATCACTGCCAATAACATATTAAGGGTGCTAAATAGCCAGACCTGTGCAACCTTCTTGTGGTCTAGTATTAGTGAGCAAATAAAGTAGAAAAATATCCATTATTTCTTTTTAAAAAAATTATTATTTTTATTTTATTTTTATTTATTTATTTTTTTGCCTGCATGTATGTCTGTGAGGGTGTCAGAGTCCTAGAAATGGAGTTACAGGCAGTTGTGAGCTTCCATGTGGGTGCTGGAAATTATACCAGGGTCCTTTGGAAGAGCAGTCAGTGTTCTTAACCATGTGACATCTCTCCAGTCCCAAAATATCCATTTCTAATAGGATATCTCTAACAAAACTACAGAAGTATGTGCATAGAAAAATATGTAGAAGCCAGGTATGGTGGCATACACATTTGATCCCAGAACTCAGAAGGCAGAGGCAGGTGGATCTCTGAGTTCAAGGCCAGGCTGGTCTACACAGTGAATTCCAGGACAGCCAAAGCTATGTAGAGAGATCCTATCTCACACAAACAAAAAACAACAAAAAAGTAAAAAAGAAAAGAAAAAGGAAAAAGACAAAAGTCTAGAAACTACTGCAAAGCTGAAACCTTAATGAGTACCCGAACAACCTGAGGTGTCACCGCTAGAACCAGAACACTTCCTGGTGAAACAATACCACTTTTCCAGCCCGGTGTGGTGGCTCATGTCTGTAATCCCAGCATTTGGGAGGCTGAGGCAAGAGGATTACTAGGAATTAAGATGCCATTTTGAGCTATACAGCAAGCTCCAGGACAGCCTGAGCTAGAGTGAGACTTCTCAAAGAAACTCAAACAAACAAAACATTGTTGTCCATACTAATGTAAAGGATCGAAGGAGCTTGGGATATGGCATTTACTTCACACATGAACATAGGTTCAACCCCTAGCCCTGGAAAACAAAGATCTAATGAATACCATAACATTCAGTTTTAACACAAATCCAAACAGAATATGAAGTAAATGAATCTGTTACTGGAAATCCCAGAAGCATAAAATATGAAAGAGGTCTGAGGAAGGGGACCTTCCTGAATGGTGATGGCAGTGATGATAACAACATCAACAACAGCTGTGTGACACTGTGCTCTCTTAAACCTGGCATATAACAATGCAGCTAAGCTATCAAATAAGCTATAAGACGTTCATGGTGGCCTGGTGTGGTGACACATGCGTTTAACATCAGCACTCTGGAGACAGAGGCATGAAGATCTCTGTGAGTTGGAGGCCAGTCTGATCTACACACTGAGTTCCAGGCCAGCCTATGTTACATAGTGAGGCCCTCCCCTCTCCAAAGGTGGTTGAGGCTGGGGAGATGGTTCAGGGAAAGTACTTCCTGTGTAAATAATACAAGGAACCAAATTCAATCCTCAGTTGTCATGTGAAACTTTGGGCACGGAGGTCCATGCGGTAATCCTAGCTCTAGGGCTGTGGAGGCAGGGGGATCCCTAGGGCTTGATGGTCAGCTAGTCAAGCTGAATCAACACGCTTCAGGTTCAAAGAGAGTCTGTATCAAAAAAATAAGGCAGACGGTGATCCAAGAGGACACAGTCTGACCTCTACATGTATGCACACACATATCTAACACAAACATTTACATGCACACACGTGCACACACACATACACACACACACACACACACACACACAGAACTCCATGAGTTAAAATGGGTGTGGTGGTTTGACTGAGAATGGCCCCATAGGCTCACTTATTTGAATACTTAGTCCTCGTTGGCCGACTGGTTTGGGAAGGATTAGGAGGTGTGGCCTTGCTGGAGGATATGGTGCTGGGGATGGGTTTTGAGGTTTCAAAAGTCCATGCCATTCTCAGTTAGCTCTTTCTGCCTTGTGGTTGTGTTTCAAGTTGCATGTTCTTAGCTGCTATGCCCACTGGCTGTCATGGTGCCCACCGGCTGCCATGGTCCCTACCTGAGGACTGGTATTACAGGTGTGTGATACTACTCTGTTTGAATGAGTTATATTTGTAGTGGAAAATGAATTACAGACCTTTTAGAAGAGGATAACTAAAATGTATTTAAAATGTTCATACACACACACAACATATATGTATATATATATATACATACATACATACGTACACATACATATATACAGGCCCCAAAATCCCCTGCAAACATTTCTAAACAGAAAACTTTACAATCTGCTATAAATAATTTACTCAAAACTTTGTGTGTTGGTGTGCACATGTTCAGGTGCCACAGTGCATGTGTGGCGGTCAGAAGTTGACCCCTTCAGCTGCGAGGGTTGAACTCAGTGCTCAGGCTCAGCTGCAGTGCCTGTACGCACTCAGTCATCTTGCTTGCTCCAAAATTGTTTGCATTTGAGTAAAGTATATATGCCCTAGAAAACATCCTTCCCCAATAATTTTCTGTAGCAAAATTTGGGCTCCCAGATAATAAGAATTTTTTGTGTTTTATTTTTTTGTTTTTCAAGACAGGGTTTCTCTCTGGCTGTCCTGGAACTCACTCTGTAGACTAGGCTGACTCAAACTCACAGAGATCTGCCTGTTTCTGCCTCTCAAGTGCTGGGATTAAAGACATATGTATATTTTTTAAAGTTTTTTATTTTGTTTTGAGACAGGATTTCTCTGTGTAGCTCAGGCTGTCCTCAAGCTCACTAAATAGAGCAGGCTGGCCTAGAACTCAGAAATTTGCCTCTGGAATCATTCTGAATTAAGAACATATGAATTTATAATGTTGTTGCTACTGCCTCATGAAAACATGCTGAGTAAAATAACAATATAATATCCCTTCCCAAGAATAAATAAATATATACATACATCCTGTTGCTGCTTTATTTCATGGTGCTGTGCCTCCCATTTTCAGTAATTCATTAATCTTATCAAGATCATTCCAAACCTTTCAACTTAAGTAATTCACAGACAGACTGTTCAGCTTCTGTTCTCTAGTGTAATAATGACCTGCGCTTGCCATGTGGTACACATGTGAGTTAGTACCTGGCGCTATGCCAGTTACATGTCTCTCTTTCTACTCTCAGGAAGATAACAGTCCATAGGTAGAAGTTAGATATAATCACATGAAAGATAATCAAAATAATTCAGAGCCAATCATTGTAACTATCGATAGTTACAAGCTATAAAGTTGGAGGAATGTTAGGGAAGCCCTTATGGGAGAAAGCACTTGATATAGGTTCATAAGTTAAGGGGACAAGGAAGCCTTGGAAAGAAGAGGAAGACATCCTGTTTGGGAAGACAGCCTACCTGAGATTTTTTCCATCTCTTCCAATAGCTTTTCCAGGTCCTTATTCAGGTCGGACAGCATTTTCAGCATGTTATCATAGTTTCTTTCCCCAGGATCAGAGTCAGCCATCTAAGCAGTGAACAAAAGGAAGTTGCATGGGACACACTGGCGTTTTTAGTTCCCACCCTACAGCTCACAGAGCAATCTTCGAACAACTGCTACCCTATCTGTCAAGGGTTGAATACGTGTCTTATGCCCCAGAGGTACTGTGCAGGTTAGATGGAAATGTGTGAGAGGGTCCACACAGACCATAACATGTGTTGATTGTTCCTTTCTTTCTTTGATCCTTTCTATTTTTTGTTTTTTGTTTTTTGTTTTGTTTTGTTTGTTTTTGTTTGTTTTTGAGACAGGGTTTCTCTGTGTAACAGTCCTGGCTGTCCTGGAACTCACTCTGTAGACCAGGCTGGCCTCAAACCCACAGAGATCTGCCTGCCTCTGTCTCCCAAGTTCTGGGATTAAAGGCATGCACCACCACTGCCCAGCTCTTTGACCCTTGTTATGTGTCATATTTAGCTTCAGATGTCAACTTGACACATCTGGGAAGATGAGATCTCAACTGAAGAATTGCCTCCATTGGATTGTTCTGTAGGCAAGCTTGTGGGAAAATTTCTTTCTTCTTTAAGATGATCGATTGATTTTTAATTTAACATGATTTTTAAAGTTTTATCTATTTTTATGTGTGTGTGTTTTATCTGCCTGTATACACAGCTGTGCATCTTGTGTATGCAGCACCTGAGAAAGCCAGAAGAGGGCATCAGATCCTGTAGAACTGGAGTTAGTTATGAGCTGCTTTGTGGGTCTTGGGGATTGAATCCAAATGCTCTTAACCACTGAGCCATCTCTCCAGTCCTAAAGATTTATTTTTATTATTTTAATTAATTAATTAATTTGGTTTTTTGAGACAGGGTTTCTCTGTAGCTTTGGAGCCTGTCCTGGAACTAGCTCTTGTAGCCCAGGCCTTGAATTTACAGAGATCCGCCTTCCTCTGCCTCCCAAGTGCTGGGATTAAAGGTGTGTGCCACCACCGCCCGCCTATTTTTATTATTTTTAAATTGTGTGTGTGTGTGTGTGTGTGTCTGTCCGTCGTCTGTCTGTCTGTGTTGGGGGTATGTGCACATGAGTGCAGGTGCCCATGGAGTTCAGAAGAAGACACTGAACATCCTGTAACTGGAATTATGAATAGTTGTTAGCCACCATGTGGTTGGTGGAAACTGAACCCAGGTCCTGTGCAAGGATATCAAGTATTCTTAGCTGCTGAGCCATCTCTCTCCAGCCCCCATTGGGGGCATTCCGCAATCATAATTTAAGAGGGCCACTGTGGGTGGTGACATCCCTGCTGTGAAATAATTCTTTTGTACATCATGAATATGCATTATTCTTATTGATTTAATAAACAGCCAACAGACCAATAGCTAGGCAGAAAAGGGTTAGGCAGGAGAGGTAGATTGAGAGGACGCTGGGAAGAAGGGTGGAGGCATGAGGAGTCACCAGCCAGATGCAGAGAAAGCAGGAGATGAACATACTGTACTGAAAAAAGGTACTGCCGTGTGGTAGGGTGTAGAGAAGAAATATGGGTAATTTAAGCTGTAAGAGCTAATCAGTTATAAGCCTAAGCTGTCAGTCGAACATTTATATTTAAAAAGAAGTCTCTGTGGTTATTTGGGAGCTGGCTGGTGGGACAGAAACCCCTCCCCCACCTACATATCCCTAAGCAGGTAGTCCTGGGCTATACAGGAAAGGTAGCTAAGCAAGCCAGTAAGTAGCATTCTTTCATGGTCTCTGCCTCAGTTTCTGCTTGAGCTCCTGTTCTGGCTTCCTTTGGTTTCGACTGTATTTGTAAGATGAAATAAAACCTTTTCTCCCCAAATTGCTTTTGGTCAGTGTTTGATCACAGCAACAAGAAAGTAAACTAATACACCAAGCTAATATCTCTTCAATGTCATCATGTTTGTGGCTCCTAGAATCCTCCTGAGACATGCCATTTCAAACACATTCGGCTCTGTTCCGAGGAGCATTTCACTGTCCAGGTTTCAGAGTTGTAAAGAAGGCAGCTCAAGAGAAGCGTCTCATAGACTTGTAATTTTGTTGTTGTCGTTATGTCTCTTGCTGGCCAAACCTTTCCTGTGTCTGGAATGCAGCCCTCGCTATCCCTATCTGTCTCTTGATGTCTGAAATAGTTCCCTCCTTTGAACTGAGGTTTCTTCCCAGATAGACAAAGTTAACTGTTTGCTTGAGGTTTGATGGAGATATAAGAAACATCTCCATCTACAGAAGGAAGCAAACTACAGAATTCGGCAACGGCGCTTAAGACACTTCAGCCATGTTATGAGAATGAATGACGGCAGATACCTGAAGACAACACTGCTTGGAGGAATGCATGGGATAAGGCGAAGAGGAAAGCCCCAAAAACACCGAATAAACAGCATAAAGGAAGATGGTGGAACCTTGGGTATGACAATAAGACAAATAAATATCTAGGAATGCCCAGGATAGGAACAACTGGAGAACCGCCATAGATGGTCTGCTCATGCTGGCTTAAGCATTGCTGGGGCATAAATGATGATGAATGTCTCTTCAAAGTTGAGTGCTGAGATGATTACAGCAGAAGACATATTTACTGGTCACGGGGAAATCTTTGCTGCTATGGTGATATGAGAGTGAATTTATTTGCACAAAAATATATTAAGAATCAATGAAGTCGGGTGGTGGCAGTACACACCTTTAATCCCAGCACTCGGGAGGTAGAGGCAGGTAGATCTCTGTGACTTCAAGACCAGCCTGGTCTACAAGAGCTAGTTTCAGGACAGGCTCCAAAGCTACAGAGAAACCCTGTCTCGAAAAAACAAAAAACAAACAACAACAACAACAAAAAAAAAGAACAATCAATAAAAACGCAAACTTTGTGTTGACGTGTTAAGAAAATATAGTCTGCTCATCAAAATCCCAGCAAAATTCTTCAAAGACCTCCAAAGAATGGTACTCAACTTCATTTGGAAAAGCAAAAAACCCAGAATAGCTAAAACTATCCTGGGCAATAAAAGAACTTCTGGAGGCATCACAATCCTTGACTTCAAATTCTACTACAGAGCTCCAGTACTGAAAACAGCTTGGTATTGGCATAAGAACAGACAGGGGGACCAATGGAACCAAATAGAAACCCAGATATCAATCCACACATCTTTGAACACCTAATATTTGATAAAGAAGCAAAAAATGTAAAATGGAAAAAAGAAAGCATATTTAACAAGTGGTGCTGGCATAACTGGATATTAACATGTAGAAAAATGAATAGACCCATATTTATCACCATGCACAAAGCTCAAGTCCAAATGGATCAAAGACCTCAACATAAAGCCAGTCACACTGAATCTTAGAGAAGAGAAAGTGGGAAGTACACTTGAATGCATTGGCACAGGAAACCACTTCCTAAATATAACCCCAGCAGCACAGACACTGAGAAAAACAATTAATAAATGGGACCTCCTGAAACCGAAAAGCTTCTGTAAAGCAGAGGACATGGTCAACAAGACAGAATGGGAAAATATCTTCACTAACCACACATCAGACAGAGGTCTGATCTCCAAAATATACAAAGAACTCAAGAAATTGGACACCAAAATATCACATAATCCAATAAAAAAATGGAGTACAGACCTAAACAGAGAACTCTCAACAGAGGAATCTAAACTTAGACAATAATGTGGACACTAAGAGAGACTTATACAGATCTAATATACATGAAAAGTAGAAAGTAGAAAAAGACAAGATCTCCTGAGTAAATTGGGAGCATGGGGACCTTGGGTGAGGGTTGGAGGGGGGAAAGGAGAGGCAGGGAGGAGTGCAGAGAAAAATGTAGAGCTCAATAAATATCATGAAAAAAAAAGAAAGTATAGTTCCTGAACCTAAAAGAAATTTCTAATGTAATAAGAGAGTCATAGACCATATACAAAACCAGAATGTGGCAGATACCCAAATAAACATGAGGACATATCTTTGCATCAATATGGTGCTGTAGCCAGGTGGTGGTGGAGCACACCTTTAACCCCAGCATTTGGGAGGCAGAGGCAGGCGGATCTCTGTGAATTCAAGGTTAACCTGGTCTACAAGAGCTAGTTTCAGAATAGGCTCCAAAGCTACAGAGAAACCCTGTCTCAAAACCTCCCCCTCAAAAAATATGGTGCTGTAATTTGTAATAGGTAATTGGTAATAGTAGCAATATAAAATGGAATAGAGTTTTTGTAAGGATTAAACATATATTGGTCAAGACAGAAACTATCATAATAAGTACTTAATAAAACATTATTTAGAATATTAAACTATAATTAACCAGATTTTCTGGTTTGAAATTGAAAAAAAATAAAGAAATAATTGAATTATCTGGGATTGATATACTGATGATTATAATTATTATCAGTTAGGTAATTCATGTTTTATCCTTAAAAAGTGGTTTGATATCTATGCCAAAGATGAAAATTTGACTGTTAAGATATAAGTCTTAGAAAGATCTACTGAAAATAATAAAAGAAATCCACATACAGGCAGAGGAATTTATAACAGAGCCCACCACACCACTGCATTATGGAACTGAAGAGGACTGGCCCAAGGTTATTAGAAAGCCAACCTTAATTTATGCAGTTACCAAACAAAAATGACCACCAGATGCTAGATATCTCCCCAAAGTTACGCAGAAGCTAACTGGAATCCTGCAGAAATGTTGGATTTGAGGAGATTTAAGGAAGCAGTCATTCATATTGTATGTATTCACCTTATGTGAAGCAAATGTTAAATTCACAGGGAACTCAGAACAGAATTATCCCCCAAGACTGGAAAGATTTAGCTACAGCAATAGTGGATGCTGGTCTTCAATTACAATGAAAAACATGGTGAAAAGAAGAAGCTAGGGTCATAGAACTACAAAATAGGACTAGAGGTATTGACATTTCTCAAGATCAACTTCTTGGTAAAGATCAGTATGCTGATTTACAAAGACAGTTTGGATTTGATGATCACACCTTGGCCCTATGTGGATATAGCAACTTTGACTGCTTGAGACAGGTTGAAGAATCAGG